TGACCTTATAATATGTGCTCAGAAGACATTTTTGGGACAAAAACTTCCAAGTAGTTAAAAGACAAAATAAAATTGTGACTATAAACATAGTAGGAAAACCTTGAATAAACAGCATTAGTTTTTCAAGCACATTTGGAAAGAAATGAAATAAAAGTAGAAAAAGTCTCAATGGCAAAGATAAATAACACTGCTAACAAGGATGGCCATGATGAAGGTAGAAGAGGGGCGTTTAAAACTAAAAAAAGCCGTGCAATAACTAGAACTTGAAATCAGTGGCTGCTGTAAAAATAACGGCATCTTAAGACAGCAACATGCAGAGGAAGATTGGTCTAATCTTCCATAGTACAGGAGAGAGTACATAATTCATGCAGTAAATAAAGCTAATTTTGATATGTGCCTTTTACATGCTTGGTTTGTCTTAATTACTGACAAAGAGATGTATCTCATAAGAATCAGAACAAACATGATTAATTAGGAGTTTAACTTCCAGCTGTGACACTGGAAAATTATTATATTTCTTTGGGCTCTGGCTTTTTATCTATAAAATGAACAAGATAGATAAATGACCTTGCACAATGCTGTCACATAGACTCTGATGCCTAAAGTGAGACTGGAGGTTGGAACGTAAAAGCAAGAAATATCTTTTGGAATTGATGGAACACATTGTAATAAAGCATCCAGAAAAACTCTGAAGGAATTAAAAACTACAGAACATTTCACAGGAGGAGGAACATACCACAGACATAGAGTCTGTTTTCAGTTAGTCTTAAATATTAATTTACTATCACTAAGTTTCTTGAAACAAGTCATGGATTCCAGCAAAACTTTTTTTTTTGCATGGCAATAGCTCCAAAGGACATTATCAGCTTTATATTTCTTCATGAAGAAATAGCAAGAATGTTTTTTGGCCTCAAACTGCTAAGTTATGCAAATGAGAATATATATTTATCTGAATATTAGCATAATTAAAAGTAATTTTATTCTTTTATATAATCTGTATTATAAAATTGTGCCTTTTAAAGTTAAGCTTCATGTATTTTTAAGATTTTAATATCATACGACCCCTTACATTTGTGTTTCAGGGATAAAATAAATACAAAATTATTTATGTTTGTAGCACTGTCTTCTAAAGAGAAGACTTTGGTCAGTCCTGGGCTTCCTTTTGCTGTAAAGAATAAAATGGGAAATCAGAAAGTCAAGAGAAGCTAAGAGACTCCACTTGACAATAACCCAGCCAGGTAAAGAATGCATAGAGACAATTTTGGTGTGGGAGAGGAGAGGTGTAGATGGATGTCATGTGGAGCAAATATTAGAGATGATCAAGAAGGAATTTATGCAATTCTGCTGTGTGCTCTGAATGCATTCTCATTTGACACTCTTTCAAGAATGTACTGAGTGAATGGTCTTTGTTTGCTTTTGGAGTGATGGATGAGCCTTCCTTTGAATCCGATTTTCTGCTGGCACTGGACCTGCAGATGTGCTCTCTGCTTGGACTGATTACACAGACATGTGTTTTCAAAATCTGTCATGTACATCTGTGCATATTTGATCAGTCTGCATAATAATTTTGCAAGGAAGAAAGGACAAAATATTTTAATTTTCCAAAATTGCAAATTGAGACTCGTGTGAGGTGTAAGTGATTTTCTCAAGATGCCATAGTGGAGATTCAAACCATGTCAGCTGATATTCTATTCATTGCTTTATGGGGTCTCTGAGATTTAAAAAAAATGCTTGGATGTGTATAAAAACTAACAAATCTTTCTTTCCTCCTAACTTTTCTTCAAGTGCAAAAAATTTGAAAGTAACATCTTTAGAGTACTTTCCAATAGAATTTTCTGCCACAATGGAATTGTTCCATATGGTCCAACTAAGTAGCCATGAGCCATGTGTGGCTATGGAGCACTTGAAATGTAACTAGTGTGGCTGAAATTTTGTTTATTTAATCAAAATTTAAAATTTTGTTATTATTAGTTAATTTAAATTTACTAGCATGTCTAGCTAGTGGATACAGTATTGGATGGTCCCACTCTAGATAATACATATGAGAGATTAGCAAATGCCTGAAACAAAATAATTACGGTCAGTTGTAACTTATCATTTATCTTTAGTTTTGTTATTGTTAGTATATCTTAAGGTTTGAAGACTTCATAAACAAACCACATTATGGTCCATACCATCTGGTTGGCATACATATTTTTTCCTTGATTTTTAATACCTTCAATCACTGACTATTCTTTTTACAAATAAAGTAAAATAAGTAACTTCCTCTGTAGCACCATTTACCTGATTTCTCCCAGTGTTATTCTTATTTTTAAATTGTTGTTATTCTTTCTCACTGAGGAATGGACATATGTGACCCTCTCTAATACAAAATATGCTTGAAGTTCAAAGCATTGGTGTTCATTTTGAAAATCACAGAAGCTGTGTATTTGCCCTTCTTTTACAACAAATAGGTTCCAAGAAAAGCAGCAGTACAAATTTCGTGAAAGTTTCATGAAAAGAAAGGGATTCAGCCTTTTCAACACTTTTAACTCTTAGTTCTCTTAGGAAGTATCCCCAGACTTTAGCAGTCTTTTTGCTTCCAAAAAATTTTCCCTTTTTACTTGTTGCTTTAGTTCACTGACCAATTCAGTGAACTGTGTATATTGCCCTTCTTTCACAATAAATGGGTTCCAAGAAAAAAGCAGCAGTACAAATTTCATGAAAAGAAAGGGATTCAGCCTTTCAACACTTTTAACTCTTAGTTCTCTTAGGAAGTGTTCTCAGACTTCAGCAGTCTTTTTGCTTCCAAAAAATTTTCCCTTTTTACTTGTTGCTTTAGTTCACTGACCAATTCAGGAGATTTATTTATCTCAACAGAACAATCAATTCTTTCAAATCTCAAATGAAAGATCAGTTCTGAAGGGTGGAAGGACAGCATTGTTTTTTAAAGGAGTTGTGTATGTAAGACATTTATTTAACTACCAATCAATTAGTGTTGGAAGCCACACCTCTTGCAAAAGCTCATGGAAGAAGCATGATCTTATCCTAAAAGGAAGTCATCCATGTGTTCCTTTTGTATTTATAGAATACCAGTTGCACCAGTTACATTGGCAAGTCATTTGATTATTGCTATCTGACCAAACTTATTCCACAAGAACGAGTTAGGATATTTCATATAAACCAAGTGTAGCGACAGTAGAGATTGTCATCACATCCTTCAGTCACCTTGATTTTCCATTTTTTCCCATTATTAATTAACAAAATAGGCTAGGAAAAAGTTACCACTCATCAGATACTTAAAAAATGTAAAGTAAAATACATGTGTCAGAAAACAGCACTTGTTTTTGTCAGACAATTGTGATGATGAAGTAGACATGCGACATTCTGTTAGTTGATTGACGCTGTCCAATGCAGACATTGTATACAGATTCTAAGCTGTGAATAAAGTGCTATTTTTGAGATATTTCTGTTTCTGAGACCTGTACCTGCAAATGTTGAACACCATACCTTATAAGAACCAACAATTTTCTTGGCACAGAATGTAAAAATGTCATGGGTCTGGAAGTTGATGAAATTATACACACAGCACCTGAATTTAAACTTTATTTGCTCAAAATCTATATTAACCACTTTCCTCCTCAAGTGATGCCTTTCCTTCTTCCTTTGTGGTGAATTTTCCAAATGTGGATGGTGATCAAAAGCCAATGCAGCTCCATCTACAGAGCATTTTGCATCTGCTTCAGTTAGCCAAGGAGGGAAGGGGTTGACATGAATGAAAGAGTAGATCAGGTAGCTAGGAAAATGATGAATGCAGCAGCTAACTGAACCATTTTTGCTAAGTGACATAAAAATATTCTAATATTAACGATTATTTTACAACTCTATGGAAGTAATGCAGTGATGCATCTTGCATTTGTTTTGTCTTGATGACAAATGCACTCTTAAGAGTCACAAGAGCCTGCCTTGTGTTAGTTATAAACAAAAATATATTTATATATATTTATGTAACTACTATGTGCTTCAAAGAAAATTTACTGTATGATCCAGCAGGGTTCTTTCATTCTGTTTATCACCAGGGATGTGCTAACTTGAATGGCTTGGTAGACAATGAAATGGGCTTTTTGTACAGCAATGGCAACACATTTAAAAACCCAGATATTTATAATCCCTTAATATTTTTGTCTCAAACATGACCAAAGAACTCTTTTAATTATTTCCTTTTGTTTGCATCAGCGAAGAGCAACTTTGGCTTCATGGGACTTCATAGGTGGGAAATAGAGGTAAATTTCTTAAAGCAAATCAGATGCTTTATTGTGAGGCAGGATAATGGAAAGCCTCATTTGCTACCCTCTCCTTCCTAATCCTCAATTAAAAGTTCAGAAATTTTCTCACAGATTATAAACAGGGTATTCATTACCAAGGAAAAGGCAGGCATAGTTTGAACCTCCTGTACAGATGAAAAATTCATCCATAAAGCAATGGACTTGTTGGAACAGTTGGATCTAGAGAAGAAAAACACATTCCTTTTGCCAAAGGTCTGTTTGGAAAAGATAGAAAATCTCTTAGTTTGTGTTTGGTTTTGTTCCCATGTGAGCTATTATTGTCAGTAATCTTGAAACAGTCATCACTGCTCTTTCAAGTGTAAGGGTTCAGGCTTTGGAACATGGTTATCTTTGAGACGTCAGAGAAGAACATTTGAACCAAAGGTGTAGATCCCTTGTGAACTAAAGCTTTATTATTATTTTGTTCTCGATCCCTTTGCAACCCTGCACCTAAGCGAAAAGCATTGTAATCTTGTCACACGTCTGGTCAATCCACAGGAGATGTTCTAAGTGAACTATGGAAGTCATCCCGCTAGGGAATTATATGTTCAGTGTACATGGTGTCTTGTACAAGTTTTAGATTTCTTTCACCCTTTCTGGGCTGGGTTTGTCCAGAAATCTCGTCCCCTTCAGGCTACAGCAGCTTAGGGTTCCTCTGTGTGTGTGTGTGTGTGTGTATGTGTGTGTGTGTGTGTGTGTGTGTGTGTGTCTTAAAGGTATAAGCAAAATTTTAGTCCTAACACCTGTAAGCCAGTACTGGTGCCATTCTGTCCTAGAAATTTTAGCACTGCTCTGATACAATAAAACCTTCTTTCTCTCCAACTGGTTCCACTTCAGCGTAGGCAGGATGACCTGAACCTCTTCTAAACTTCATCGCGGGCCATCGGCTTGGCCGTCTCTAAAACAGAAAATGTAAAAGTAATGAGCATCAGAGTGAGATGCTACCACCAGAAAATACATTTGCCAACTATTTTAGGTTAACATTTCAATCAAATAAAGTAAGTCATTAAATGAGGTCTTATTATCTTCAGGGTAGGAATTAACATGCATTCCACTCTCAAACACTCAAAACCCCATACTTGTATCTCCACTGCGGCACTATCTACTCCTAGCAGGTGGCAGTCCATTTGCCACACCTGCTTTCAGGGGATTGAGAGTTTCTTCAAGACATGGTTTCATGCCTTATGTACACTTACGAGAAAAGTGCTCAAATTTAGCTAGGCAAAAATGAACTGTAATAAAAAAACAACGTTCTTAAACATAGAGCCACTGACATGTTCTCTTCTCTAGAAGTCAATACCAGTATTACTTCATTTTACTTATTAATTCACTCAAGAATGTGAGGCTGTACAAATTGTCACAGTATGCTTTTAAGTAGCTGTTAGACATGTTAGCAATAAATATCCTAAAAATCCTAAAAACAAATATCACTTAAAATTTACAAAATTGTTTATTAAGCCATGCATGCTCATTTATGACTTTTATGCTTGGAAATTAGGGCATGCCTTAAAAGTGGAATCTGTAATCAGAGGGTGTGAACAATCTAAGCCTATGAAGTTAATATTGCAGAGTAGACACTGGTCCTGAAATGCAGGCTATTTGTGTTGACAGAAAGACAGCATTTTCCCCAGCACTCTGTCTATCAAACAAACCTCCTGTGATTTAGAAATAGATGTGCTGAAATGAAATATTAAGTTACAGCAGCAGAAGACACTTAAATGCATTTCATAGCCACAGTGACATTAGAACCGATTACTTCATTTATCAAAGTGTCTGCAATTTTGGGGTAAATAAGGCAATAAATATTGAAGGAAGTTTATTTCTATCTAAAGAATTTTAATGCGAAGAAGGTTAAACATCAGTGTACGTATTCTGGCACTTGGTGTCTTTCTAGACTTGCCAATGTCAGTGATTAATAGCAGTGGGAGAAGTTTTTCACATGGAGTAGGAATGAGTATTAGCTCTGCATTCTGGAAAAATACCACTCACGTAAATACAATTTGCCTACTAATAATTTTATATGCTGTCTCTATAGCATTGTGTGCTTGGAATGCCTGCCATTTAAGAAAATTATTAAAAACATTTTACAAAGTTACCTCCGGGTTATGTGTATAAGGTATATTGACACAAATGAATTTTGTGTTTGGACTTGGGTCTCTTTCCCAAGATATCTCATTATGTATATACAAATATTTCCAAACCCAAAACCAAATCCAAATTATGAAACACTTCTGATGGCAGGTATTTTTAGTCAGGGATACTCACCTTACAATGAGAACTAGTAAATGTTATGCAGCTGGAATTTTGAAGTTTTGGTCTTATTTTACAATTTCTTGACATTCTAATCTTAGTTCTAAAAATGCCAAATAAATTGTAATGAAAATTCTACTTTCTTTCTGGAATATATTCACAACAAAGCAGGCAATGTCATCTCATATCACAAAATAATTTTATAATTGTGAATAAATCATTTGATCTAAGTCTTTGTCTTCTCATCTTTAAAATGATAGTTAATCTGCTCCAGGTTCTTTATTCTTGCTTGCCTGAGATAATTGACTTTAAATTCAGGGAGATCATAATTAAAGGAACCAAACAACAAACTCTCTGTGTTGTACACTTCTGATTATTGGCTTCATTCTATTTATTTTAGAATTCCTAAATTCAAGGGGAAATTATACAAATTAGTCCAAACTGAAATTGCCTTTCTGTGTCAATACGCAGTCATTCAGAAATATCTGTATAAATGAAAATAGTAGGCAACTACGACTTTGACAGAATGTCTGCATATTTAATTCTCTTAGAAAGCTTTTTAATGTTGGTGCTATCATGTTAGTTATCTACCCAGTGGACCAGGAGCAGCTTGGGCAGAGGGTCTAAAATCTTGGGCATTATTCTGGCTTGCCATGAACTTGCAAGTGTGACAGTTCAACCTGGCATTTTAAGGAAGGGATATACTTCACTTTTTTCTTGAGGCTTAGACATTTCCAAATCTGTGGTCTTTTTAGAATGGCTCATTCAGATTGTTACAGAAACTGATAGAGGCCACAGGGTCACTGGCTCATGTAGCAGGAAGTATGATGAAAATTGCACTATTTAAACCAGACTGTAATGTTAATTTATTGCACAGACACAGGATGTAATGCTTGAAAACATTATGGGGCATAATGCAGGGGTGATCTTTAATTTCATTTCTGAGGATTATTTATGTGATTAATGACAATCAGAAGAAAATGTTCACAGTGATATGTTGGCACTGGGGTAGACCATGCAAGCAGGAATTCTCCCTAATTACTCCTTCAGTGCTATTAATTGAACAGTCATCCAGATCAGTCTCAATGATCCATGGCAAGATAATTAGCTGAAATATCCACAAACAAACCTGTAGGGTACCCTCAGCTAGCAGTGTACACAAAACTGCAGCTGGAGATCTGTCTTCTGGTGCACACAGCAAACAGAAAGGGCTTTGTGAATTATTGAGCCCTTGAAAGAAAGTTATAGGCATGCATGGTGAAATAACAGGGACAATTTTGAAATTTAAGGCCCAGCCAGAAGACACTTGCAATGCATGATGGCACTTGACAAGCATCTGATTAGAAATTTCTGCTATTTTACGTTCTTTTCTCCTGAATAGGGAGGAAATGGACAGAGGCTGGGGTCACCTCCCAGCACAGAACTTGGGCAAAGTCGTATGTCTTACTTGTTATTCAGTTTTCTCATCTGCAGAAGGTAATAAACTAAGTCCCATTTTCTTCAAATTTTTTCTTTAAAAATTTTTTTAAAACCATAAACTCTTTTTTTCTGCTACAACCTTGCTTGGAAGGCCAAACAGAGGCACTCAGGGTAAGTCTCCTTCAATGTGGTGGTGACACTCTTGTTTACACATGCCCCCATCCCTGAGGGAGAATATGAATGCTTTCTTTCTTTCTTTTTTATTTTTTGCGGTACTGGGGTTTCAACTCAGGGCCTACACCTTGAGCCACTCCACCAGCCTTGTTTTGTGATGGGTGTTTTCGAGATAGGATCTCCAGAACTATTTTCCTGTGCTGGCTATGAACCTCAGTCCTCCTGATCCTTGCCTCCCGAGTAGCTGGGATTATAAATGTGAGCCACCAGTGCCTGGTTATGAATGCTTTCTTAAAGCATGAGTGCAAGCTATGGAACTAAATCTGCATTTTTTGAGCTTAACCATGCATGCAAATTACAAGAGATCTTCCTGTTCACAGATTCTGGTTTAGTGGGACACATTAAAAAAAAATGACACATTTTAAAAAAAATTTAAATGTATCTAAGTGTCCTGTGTTTTATTTGGCAACCCTATCTACAGGGAAAGACAATGGCTTTGGGCCCTGTCCAGCAAAAACTTGCAGTCTAATTAAAATAAACTGCTTCTGTTTGTGTTAGTGGCAGTGTCTGCTTCATGCATTATTCATCACTTTTTTCTTAAAAATGGTACTGGGGTGTGAAGAGGATCAAAATGTGTTACATGTATGTATGGAGATAGCATAAAGAAATCCACCAAATATTTTTTAAGGAAAAGAGGGGGGTTAAGGGAATATATAGAGGGGATGAATTTGCTAAAAATACACTGCATGCATATATGGAAATTTTAGATGAAACCCCCTTGTACTATGAATCCTAAATTTAAAAAAGAGTAACATAATGTTTTGTATATCTCCTTGTACAGCTATAAATTCTAATGAAGCTTGGGTGTTCTTTTGTACTTTTTCTGGTTGTCTTATTTTGGGTCTTCCTCTTATGGAAGTTGCCTTCATCCTAGAATTATCCTATAGATAATCCTGAAGTACTATTTATAACCAGGATTGACACAAGTCCAAAATGAAAAGTATCTCAAAGCAGACAATACAAAGCAACAATCTAATGGGATCAACAACAACAAAAGAATTCATATAATTCACTCGATTTTCTAAAAGATAAAGTATTCAAAGTACAAAGTACATGACTTTCCACTGTCTGCTAAGTACAGACTATTAATATGGGAAAGAAATTCTTTTTACTCATACATCTCAAACACTTAAGGTAGATTAATTTGTTTCACTGACTGGTGGTTCTCAGAGTTGACTGAAAATACAATTACCTTAAGAGATTAAAACAAAAACATAAACTGATGTTGAGGGCTATCCAGGCAACCTATCTCAGAATCTCCAGGTAGGGCCCGGGCAAGTATATTTTTGAAAAGTTCCTTAGTAAACCAGTGAGTAAAGTGGGGGATGAGAACCAACCATGGTCTTCTCTCAGTTTCCTGTCCTTAGATCATTATTTTGACTCTGAGACTTTGCCTAGGGTTCTCACTCAATCTTAAATGCCACTTATTTCATCATTTTTACTTAGACAAACATGTATAGTGTCACAGAATTTCCAGGAAAACTTTCCAGAGCCCCATCTACAGATTAGAAACTACTTATTCTACTGTATTGTTTCAGACATTTCCTAGTATTTTACCAATATTTCTTGTCTTATTCTTGTATATATGTGGTTCCTTATGTAGTTGCGTACATGTACATGTATATATATCCTGTTCTCTCTAAATATCCTAGAAGCTAAATGTCATATTCTGTTAAACTATGAAATATCCTCAGCAATGGGGCACTGAAGATATTTGACACTTGGAGTGATCCTTTTTGAAACATCTGTGTTATTTTCAGTAACAATCACAAAACATGAAGAACAATAACGGCCAAAGAAAAAAAGAGATGCAACTAAAAGTTTTTCTCTGAAATTCATTGATTTAAGCATGCTGGAAGAAATGAAAAATAAAATAAATATTGCCTTGAAAAATGGGAAAATGGAGTGAATATGTAGTTTCTGTTAAACAAAAAAGTGGTGGTATGGGGAGAAAAACAAAGACACATGAAGGAATATTGTCAAAGGAGCAAACTT